TAGAAATTAAAATGGGTTAAGGCTTATCTGACGGTTCGGCATTTATCAACTAGTTAAACCTTTTCTAAAACGGTTAAACTGTGAAACTGGTTAAATTACAAATAAGTAACTATCATTAATCAAGATATTTTCTATATATTTCCTTTGTAAACTTATTTGTCTTGAAGATTATAATTTACTTGGATTCGCAAAAATACCAGCAGTTACTATTTCAAACATTCAATCCAATGTAATATAACTAAATTATGGTAATGTAAAAATATAGAATATATATCTAATAATTAAGCCAATGGTTTTAACAGCCAGTTAGTGTTTTAGCAACTTCAATCCTTATTAGCATCGCTAGCAAAATTTTTATTCTCATGTAGTTTTTTTGCGGTTAATTTTTTATGTAAAAAATCTGAGTTATGTGTATTTAACCGTTTAATCAGACTGGCGTAATGATATTAATAATTTTTAGCTGATGATTCGCATAATTTTGCTCAGAATTATGGCAGCATTTTTAAGTGGTAAAACGTTTCCAATTTATTTATAACCAAACCCAGATAGCTTATGACATAATACTGGTCATATAGAAAACTTAAAAGACATGATGATTGAAAATTTCTCTAGATATATATTGCAATTACCACTCAAAATGTATTTTCTGAAAGTTTCAAAATTTTGTATCAAACTGAATAAACACGTCCAACCACTCAGTTCGATGAATCAATGCAATGAATAGAAAAGATGAAAAAGTGCGTGTACTAATATGTTTTGAAATCATTAAAAATAAAAATTATGGCGCGTAATTCTTGGCATGCATGGCTGACTGCAATGATGTTTTTTTGGAAGCTTTCAATCACAATTTTTTAACTATTGGATATAGCCATTGGAAACTTCAATAACATTTCTATTGGAAGCTTCCAAAAGCTTCAATATATCATAAAATTTTAAAAACCTAGTAAAGAAATCGATATTAAACCGAAAAATTTATTATTTAAAAGATTAACTTAGCTTATCTGATACCATTATGGCATTGTGTAAAAAATGTACTTTTACAGAAAGAGGCTTTGAATCATCAGCCTTATTACTAACGCTTAACAAAATTAAAAACTATTGCGAGAATTCTTTTATCATAATTCTATGATGGCAATTGTCTTACCGTACGGGTAAAATGCAGCTAGTAATACTTACTCATGTTTTTCATCGATTCAGTTCCTAAATTCATTTTCACATATGTAAATAATTATAGCAAATTTATTATTTATAATAAAAATAGTTCAATCTAACAAACCAAATAATCTATCAAAGAATAATTGCAATATACATGTACTGTATATTAGTTTCGCCAGTGTATTAATAAATCATCATATATATGTGTCAGTTAAAAATAAAAGTATATTAACCTTAAATTCATAAAGTATTTATTTTTCATTGTGTGTATTTTGTTGGACAAAAGCTAACAACATGTACTACAAAATTATGCAAACGGAAAATTTATTTACATGTATTTATAATAAAAGATTTACTTAATATAATTCATCGGATATAGAAAGTGGCTTTGTAATATTATTATCAGAGGCTTTGAATCGTCAGCCCTATTACTTGTGCTTAGCAAAATTAAAAACCATTGCGATCACACAAGCAAACACTTCATTGCGTAGAAATTCTGAGACATATAAAGAGTTCGAGTAGTGTAACACTTTTTCTTTCAAAGAATATATTAAAATATTAAAATATCAATATACAAAAGAAAATTAAATTTCAAAAAATAATACCACTAAATCTATCTAATAAGTCGAATCGATCAATAATTTACAATGTCAGCAAAAACAACTCTTTCACTCTTATTCACACTCATTCTTGTTCTTCTAATCTCGAGTTCTCACATTCATGCTCATCATGAAAGAGATTGGGAAATTAAAAGAAATATGGCAGAGGATAGAAAATGAGGAGAAAAGAGATACATGCTGAATTATGTTTATATCGATATATGTTACAATTTTCATATTTTTGTAGTCCATATTACTATTGGGAAGATACAGACATGGTGACTATAATTGTGGGGAAATACATGTAACATGAATGTACGTAGTCGGTTATTAGCGTGATCAAATTTTCTTGGTATTACATGTAAATCGATATGTAATGGTTGGATACTTTTATGGATTACTGTTATAGAATTATATATGACAAACAAGTTTAATTATTATCTGAATAGTGATTGTGTTAATAAAAAATGGATTTATATGGTCCAAAAATATATTTCGTTTCGAACCAAAACTGAACCCGAACCGGATTTTCGGGTTGCTATTAAAACCCGATCCGAACAGAAAATTCGGTTCGGGTTATTTTCAGTTCGGGTCCAGATCCGAACTGAACCAGCCCAAGCGGTACTCTACTTCCATTGTATCCTACCCCTTACATCGTATCTTCCTGATACAATTCAAGAAAATCATAGGTAGAATGTAACATATCCAGGATATTTGGCTCGGTTAAATATGTCATCCCTATATAAAAAATCATTTGGCTAATACGTGTACATGTTCTCAACTTGGATTGTGTATCCATAGAGGTGGGAAATTTAATATTTAATCATGTGACTAGTGTTCGACATTTTTCTATCTTAAAATATATTTACTAGTATAACGAAAATATTCTTAATAAAAATACTCATTAGTATTTATTTAAGTCGCCAAGCTGAACTTAGGAAATTAAAATTGGTAGTAATAGTCCGAATGGTGCAAATAGTGCTTATTTCAAAGTCAATGATTCTCAAATAACAGTGTAGTTATATAATATCTACAATTGTCTCCTCTATAGTCACCTCACATCTAATCACTTCATGTCAGAGCCACTCACTATAGTCACACCATTATTCCGAAGGGTGTAATTATAGAAGGGGGACGACTGTATTTCGATTTATGATCAAAAAAATTTTAATTCTCAATATTATTTATTTTTAAATAGTTATTTTCTTTTCCCAACATTACTTGATCAATTTATCAACGTACAAGTTGCTACATGCATTGTGAAATTTTAATTATATATTTCATTTTGCTACAGTTTTTTATGCAGAATCTCATATCTTATTTCCACTCCACAAGCTTCATAATTTGCTTATCTTTCCAAACTATCGTGTTAATTTTAAACAAAAAAATAACCTAATTTCAAATTACACACATGTTGTTGTTATATTACTGCAAATTTAGGGTGATTTAATAAAAAATTGTTCAAATATTCACAAGTAGTGTTATATAACTTAGCACTCATTGGTACTTAGAAACTCAAAGAAGCTATTTTTTTAAAAAGTCGATTTTGTATTAGTGTAATACGTATAAAGTAAAGGAATATTGTGTCGTTTTTAATATTCTAAGAAATTACATGTACAAATATATTTTTAAGTATAAATATATACAAGATACCTATTGACATATTTTATCTATTTTTATTTGTGTTTTAAGCATGTTTTTTGACCACCACAATACCCCCTTTACCTTATGAGGCAAAAAATAATTATTTCAACGAATCTGTGGCAAGTTATATTATAACAAAATTTTACTTTGGCTCTTTAAATAATATTTAAAATATAACGATACTGTAGATAATTTAAGTTAAAATTTTAATATGTCTTCTCATCAAAAATAAACATCTCTCGTTAGCAACTTTCTTCTCAGAAACTTGTATAATGAAGTCACAGAGTAGGCGCGTTGAATAGACTGAGTGTATTCTATTTAACTGTTGTTTGTGGATTGTAAATTTGAGGAATTGGTTGTTGATTGTAAACTTGAGGAATTGGTTGATTGTAGACTTGAGGAATTGGTTGATTGTAGACTTGAGTTTCTTGTTGATAGACAGGGAACATTTGTGGTTGATTTGGTTGTTGCTGTTCTTGGATTGGTAGCGCATAAAATTGCGTTGTTGGCAAATCCGTCGATGTTGTGTTAGTTTGTGGTGAATCCGCACGACAAAAAAGGTTTCTACATATACAGCTGAGAAGAGTAAGTCCCATTGAGAGACCAATGCTTATTAAAATAGTGTTAAGAATAGCCATTGATTTAAATATTGAGTAAAGCGACAAATTGTAAATTAACAGAATTTTTTCATTTTTTGAGCGCCATTTGCTTAAATACCGAAAAAGTCTAACTTAAAAAATCATGATTGTTGTGATTGTACGTATTACCGTTACCGTTACAGTGACTTTCGTTAAACCACCTGAATTCCAATTATAAATGTCTGTTGCCCCCGGTTTAACGGTGTACGTTAACACAAATAAATCTATCGGTATTACGTTAAGAAATAAATAAATCTCTTTGTCACAACTACTTTTTCAGTGATTTGTGCAAGTTTTGAAAGCTAACGGTTGCATATACAGTACGCATAACGATAATACATGTGCAATTTAATTTTCTCTCAAGTCTTTTCGATAGAGTATTCATACACGACTGTGATTATGTTTCCGGACAATACTGTACGTATACGTACATGTACATGTACGAACAGTAGTACTGTTTAATTGGGTAACATTAAAAGGTTCAACTTCCCAACATACACTTTAATTATAACAAATTTTTAGTTGCGTCTTTTACAGTCAGTCACTTGATGTCATAAAGAACAATCAGTTATCAGTCTGTTACTAATTGCAATAAAAAACTTATTACAGTTTTTTAAAAATTTGAATGTATTACGTACATACTAAATACGTACATGTATCCAATTGAACTCTGTTATTTCGATTTTGAGTAAAAAGATTTAGTTTAAATTCAATCAATGGAAGAAATTTCAACATGATTCAACGAACGATAAACGATATTCAAGATGTATCCTAGGCAATTAATGGTTTGATCACTACTACCGCTATCGCTATGTATCATTTTTTTATTTAGGTGAAAATTTCGCTTTTTATATACACGTAGTTTGAAATAGACTTATTTCGTTACCCAATGAATTCAAAACATATAAATAAAAAATAGCTACATAACGTATATGTAAAACATGATACAAATATAATAAATTTGTTTTCTTCTCAGAAAATTGTTATATTGATTTCGATATGGTTGCTGTTAAGGAATTACATGTATTATGATGCTGGTTTTAGCAATTCTAGAGACCTTAGTTCAAGATTTTTTGTCAAACTATAGTTCTGCTACAGGGAACACAAAAGTTTTCTATTTCCTGTGACAGGTTATTGAACTTGATAAAAGAGTGCTGTAAATTGGATATTTACGTTTTGTGTTTGATTTATACAGAGTACTTCATTTTAGAATAGTGGCTTTATGATGAGCACGTCATTTTGCATTCACGGTCTTCACACCAGATTTTCATCATAGTTTTGTACTGATTTCACTATTATTGTCTCATGACACAATGTTGGAATTCTGATCCCTTGAAGCGAACGACTACAGAAGAAATAAAGGAAAAAATCTATAATGTGATGTCCAATTATCTGGAAGAAGAAACTCAAATTAAATCATTTAAAACTACGAATGGGGAACTGTACTTTCCTAAAATCATAAGTGTTTTGCAATACAAGTTGAACATCAAGATTTTGACATTGAGTCAGCATATCAGAAAGATGTTCGAAGACTCAAAGTATTTGATGTGGGTTATTTGTTTGTGTGAGCTTTCAAAGCTTCAATCACTACGTAGTTCTTTAAGTAGACCAACTAAGATAGCGCAAATTGTTAATCACACCCGGTATGCAATCCGAATAAAATCCCAAATTACCGAGAACAGTATGTCTTGTAAACATTAAATAAAAATCGGTGATGGTTTACATATAAAATTGCCTCTAGACTAGTTCTCGAACTTTAATCATAATCGCTAAATAAGAAACAGTATATCCGGGCTACATTTTTGGGAGTAATAACGATAAAATTCTTTGATATCGTGCAAACTAATTTTAAATTGGAATTTGCGCGCCATATTCAAACAATACAAATTTGGAAGCTGTACTTAACAATTTCAAATATCCTTGTAATAAATTAAAATTTTTTTCGGTTAAGTTGTGTATTCTTATCAATTGTTGGTACATGTATTATTGATTTAGTGCTTGTATTATGTAATTAGTTCCAATTTTTAGATTATTTAATTCCGTTTTGTAAGCAATCCTTTGAATCATATTACGTAACAAAATGACACATTGTACTGCCAATACATACGTACACATTTGGATTAGACAATTTTTGTGTGTGTACATGTATTATGAAGTACATGTATGTTGCACCAACTGTTTAGATTTACATGTACAATTTTAACGTTAACGTGCATAAGAATTCTACGTGAAAAAATGACATACATGTACATGTATTACGTTTACAACATGCATTTGTTGTACATGTACATGTATTTAAAAAGAAGCTTTTTATGACTTCTATTGTGTTCTGTCTCATTTTTTATGCATAGAAAGCAATGTTACTCTTTTACCAAAATACTAATGATGTCTATGAAAAAAAAACAAAAATATTATGGAATAACTTGGAAATTAGCTTTCAGGAATTGATTCAAAAATGCGCAATAATTCCGTATATTTTGGGAACTGGCTCCGAAAAGTTCATGAACATTTCTTGGAATTCCCAGGAAATTCTTTAGGATCGACATAGGGCATGCGTCATTTTTCAATGTTTTTTAAATAAAACACTGCTAATAAAATAAACTCAAAGATGGCATCTAAACGTCAAATACTCATGATTTGGTAAATGCTACGATTGTCAAAAAAAAATGAGTACTGGTGTTATGAATACCAAACTAATTTATAAAGCTGAAAACAAAGATGTCGAATATCTAATAAAAGAATGCAACAAACAATGTACGTAAAGATTTATTCAAATGTATCTCTTTTGAAAGATTTACCAATGTTTTTGAATCCATTTATTGGGTTCTCTTCTAAGTGGGATCTTAAAAAACCTATCTAACGACCTGGAAACACAATGTTGTGTTGAAGTCATTACACAATTCAAAACAAATTACATCCGAGTTTACAAACGAGGTAAAATGAACGCCTTTGAAGTGTAAACATATTAACTTTTGTTTTGACTTTTTCAAAATTAGATTCAGACAGCACCTTTAGTAATATAATAAATTATTATCGAATAACTAATGAATACTCGAAATTGCCATGCAAAACATGGCGAAACATATATAATTCCCACAGACAAAAATTGACTTGAGATATTTAATTCGATATTATCAATAGTTTGACATGAAATTCACACCGAGGAATTTGTGCATCGTGAATTTCACCCCGGCGAGATATTAATATAGACTAGTGGTAGTATTGCTGATTTTGGACTTACCAAACCAGAAGATATAGAAAATTCTGATCAAAATATTTGCGGAGTATTTCTTATGAGTCCAGAGGTACTAAATTGAAAGCCATACATTAAATCTGCAAATATTTATAGGTTTGGGATTACGTATGAGGTTGTCATAGAAGAACAATCATTTGACGGGCGGAGTCGTGATCAATATCTACCTATGATAACAATAATATTCTTGGATGGTGCAAATTTATTATTGAAAATGTTTGGAAAACAAATCAATTGCTAAGCCGCTAATCTGAACTCATAAAGTGGAAACTGAATACGTACTTTGAAATTTCCAATACTATAGCTCTTTAGATTCTAAAACAGACGAGAAATTAAGGAGTGCCTTAAAATACAAAGGCTGAAAGGGCGAACTTAATAAGAAGATGGAATTGCAAAAAAAGTATTCCTACGAATATAAACAAACACAAATCCATTCAAACGCAATTTCAATCGCAACTGATGTTGGTGCTTTCTATTTCTAAGCGTATTATCGTTTCACTTAAAATTTATATCGAATGTTTAGGCTCTACAAGTGTTAGTTTGTGTGTTCCCGAATGAAGGTAAATAATGTTTTTCCAAAAAAAAATACAGTATCAGTATATAAGTAACCCTCCTTAAAACATTATCAATAAATTTTATTAATAGTCTATAGAATAAAATTATCTCTAAAATCAGCAATTTTTTGGGACTGCTTCAGCCCTAAATCCTACATTTTAAAGGATTCTGATTTCTCGAGACATTTTATCACTTATTTTTAATAAGTAAGTTATATAAAATATTGTTACAAACAAATTTAATTAGTAACTTGTAAAAAAAATTATCTCTAAAACTAGTAATTTTCATGGGAACATTTGGGACCGGATAACATTTCTAATTAAAGTATTGTTTGCAATTCTAGAATATGTATATAGCGATAGTCTACAAGAACAATTTACAAAATAAAGCAAATACATGTAATGGCTAGCTATTGTACGACTGTACAAGTAACGGGAATTGCTTAAAACGTAGTCCATCCGATAATCTGTCCGAAAAACAAACCAACGAGGATGCATAAATTTTTAATGAACCAAGCAAAATAATTTGAAACCAAGACAAAAAATTAAAAATTACAGAAAATAGGTGCTTAAATCTTTCTTGGAGCACTAATTAAAATGTTGGGAAGGCAATTTTAAATATAACCTTTATCTCCTTCCCAACCCTGACCCTAACCCTAACGTTAAAATTACATTTTAATATTTTTAAGACATATCACGTGATGGAATACGTTTTAACCGCTCAAGTTGGTTATAAATGTTACTTATACGTCACTTGTTTTATTTTATAATGTTGATATTTATACTGAGAATGATGGAAAAGAAAAACACAACGTAAACTTTTTTTCGTTAATAACAACAGGGTCTTAACGTTTTAAAATGTTATGATTTTCAATAAAACTACAAAAATGTCCTATTGAAAATGTGTTGGAAGAATCAAATAAACGGGGAAAGATTTCAATTAATACTATCAGTCAAGATGAAGAAACAAAATTTTAAGCTTATTCATACTGAACATTTTTAGTTTTTTTAGGGACGACTTCCGATACAGTCGAACCTCCATATAGTCACCTACCATATAATCACAAAGTAAAATTTTCAGTTTCCAACTTATTATGAAGCATAAGAATTTGACCTCCAACCTCTTTATAATCACAGTTTTTCATATTCCAAGTGTGTGATTATAGGGAGGTCAGACTGTATTTCATGTAATAATTCACAAATATCTTTATAAAAAATCTAACAATTTTTATCTCTTACCATATGTTTCTAAAGAAATTGATATCAACATTGGATCTGAGATACCTTATTTAAACAAAATAATTGATTAATTAAAGTATATTGAACTAACGATACAGTTCTTCTTTAGCACAACACATATATAAATTAGTGTATTGCTATAATTTATTTCTATAAAACACAGCACATTAAAAACAATTTATAAAGTGAACTCCAAGATGGGATCTAAAATCTCGAATTGTTATTATGATACACTGGTCGAACAGGGTTGTTTTTACCTGGGCAAAATTTCATGGCAAAAATATAGGTTAGTTTTTTTCAAAAATTTGCAATTCCATAATATTCTTACCTGTATTTTAGAACAGATAAAATCAGGTCTTATATTCAGAGATAAAAGCATGGTCGAAATTACGGTCAATTATTTGTAATAGTTGTTATGGTTACACTGCAATCTGAAGTCGATAAGAGTACTGGCCTTTGTAATTTACGCGCTTGGTAAGCTATCCAAAATATATATCGAAAATTGCATGCTGAGTATTTTTCTTTGTCACTCAGCCGCAAATTTTTCGTTCTTGATTCACTATGATCTGCAATAATTTAAAAATTAAAAAACCCATTCTTAAATCGCAATATCAAAAATATACAAAACGAATGCATATTTTTGAGAAATACTTATATACCTATAAAATAATTTTATTTGCCAGATAATTCTAACCCAGATCCAGACACTAACCCTAACCGAAACTTATCATTTAAATCCACCCATATTTTTGCCTTTGGATTCATTGTGATATTACCCGTATTTTTACATCGAATTTTGCCCAGGTAAAAACAGTCCTGTTCGACCAGTAATACTAAATCTATGACACATAGTTATCCGACTTTCCTCTCAACGGTCCCTGCATTCATGACCGAAAACACTGTGCTGCTCTTACGTCTTTGGCCTCTTATTCGTGATCATGTTTCCATCCGCAGAGAAGGCACGCTCGTAAGCAACGGAGGATGCTGTAATCGCGAACCTCATGGGCAAGGTGAGGAAACTGTATCTGGCGTGCCTAAATATTATGTTATTCAATCTCATTCTATTATTTTAATAGGCAATATATTATCGCTTACCTTCCACCATATAGCACACTGATTTCTTTATTTGCCGGCTTCTCATAGATATAGCGTTTGATTCATCAAGACCTTTTTCATCCTCATCATCAAAGTCTGTATCCAGTATGGATTGTGTAACTGACTACATGGAATTGTTAAGGCTGGTGTCCGATAAGAAACTGTTATTAGGCGTGGGAGTGGTGGCCAGCGTATACTTCATTTCAAAGTCTGTGCACATTCTAAGGAGCTAATTTCTTATATAAGCGTTGGAAAATAAAATATTTAAAATGAAACAACTTAGTTTTTTTATTCCATCAAACTCGAAATTCGGAGATTCTTTTTTTGTGAAATAGTGAAACTTTCTTCTTGGATCTAATGCGATACATTAAATCACAGTTGTATTTGTTTTAGAATAGTACTGAACTAACTTTTCTCTTGCTGCTGTAGCCGCCGTGACAAGTGGTGGAACTAATAATTAAATTCGTTAAATGTAAATTAGTAATACAATCGAAATTCACCTATCAATTTTACCAAGTCCATTCTCTATCTCTGCCTCTGTCTGAAATTGCATCTTCGACATGATGCATAATAATACTGAAGAGGTGAATAATCCAGCAGGTTATACTATTCAAACTAACCGACATTTGACCGTGAGATCCTTAATTGGTCCAAGGAATTCGGCAACTTTCTCCAAGCTAGCCAATTGGTTGGAATAACCAGTCAAGTGTAATCTTCAACCAATCAGAACCTATACTAGTGGTCTATTACAAACTATGTTCGAACTCAAACATGTTCATGAATTTCGAACCGGACTCATAATGATGTTCGAGTCCGGTTCGGGCATTGCAAGTTCGAGTTTGGGTTCAGATTCGAAAAATTAACAAAATCTCTGTTCGGTACGGTTTGGAGTTCGATCGAACTTGAATTGAACCGAATCGAATCTAGGAGCTCTAATCAAGCTCAAATTATCGACGTTGTACTTACTTGCCTAATAAATATAATCAAAGAAATTTGCAGATTACTTCCTTATATTAATACAGAGATATTATATGAAAAGCTACACTGAAACTGCAAACATTTATAGATTTGTTATATATGAGATTCTAACAGGTGAATGATTATTTAGTAGATGAAATTAAGATGTCAAACAATGATCCGGGACGCTGCAAATTTATTGTTGAAAATGTTGGCTTGTTCCCAACTACTGAGAATCTTTGACACTTTCTGATTGGAAACTGAGCACTTTGAATTTTCAGTACAACAACTCTTTAGAATCTCCTAAAACACAGTTTTAAACTAGAAAAGATACAAAATCCATCCAAATTCAAATGAATCTACTATAGAATTAATTTCAGCTCCAAAAATACAGATGCTTTTTTATTTCGAAATACAGATCATAATTACATTTCATATTAATTATAATTATATCGAATGTTTAGACTTTACAAATGTTGGTTTGTAGTATATACCGCACGAAATCAAAGAAAATAAAGATATAAGAAGAGATTCTGCAAGTAATCAATGAATATAATTCCATTCTTATTTTATGATTTAGGATTCGAAATTCGATTGTCAAATTGATTAGAATTATAGCAGATACATGTACATAGTACCAAGAAATTATTTTGAAGTACAGTATAAATAATTTACTCGTCCACTGAACATCAATCGTTACTGCATTTATTATCGTTACAGTACCCCAAAAAAGTAAGGCCCGATTTACATGTATAGCCATTTTTATCGAATATGGAGGTTAAAGCGGAGTAGTTTCACTAATTATTAAATTCATTAGAAAGTTTGTTAAGGTACTAGCTTTCAAAAACTAAACTATATCTAAAATCTCGTGCCGAGCATTTTACTTAGAGCTGTTATAGCAAAATTTTGAGTTATCGTTATTTGCAATTTTCGTTTTTGCGTGCTACACATGATCTTACAATTGGATTGGTCAAATTTGTATGTTACGTTTGATTATCGTTATCTTTTATAACATCGTCAACATTATAATATTGTTATGATGTCCACTTGCAGCTAAGCGAAATTGAAAAAGGGAGGTGACCCTGCAACAATACGCCGCTTTATTAACAAATACAAAAAGAGAAAACTAACCACGTTCCAGAAGACCGCCAGCTCTTTGCAACTGTGAAAAACACTTACTCATGTGAAGCTACTGAAAAGCGACGTGCGCCACTTCGCGAAATTGTGAGTGATTTAGGTCTAAATTGCAGTTTGTTAACTGCCGCAAATGTACTGCACAACTCCGGACTTCATTTATGTATTACTGCAAAGAAAGCGTTTATCTCAGAAATACATGCGTATGCTCGTTTTAAGTGGTGCGAGGAACGTAAGCATAAAAATGCTTATTATTGGGCAAAGTTATTTTTTCTGACGTGAAGAGTGTAGAAATTGGGAAGCTGTCACGACAACTAAGAGTTTGGCGGCATCCAGGAGAGAAGTGTAACAATAATTATTTGGTATACTGTTACACTGGTAACACTAAATCCTCTTTTAGAAACGCATTGTTTTTTTTTCCTTTTCTTTTTCCCCTTTTATTTCTTTATTTATGTCAATCAATTCTGATTACACCGCAAATTACACCGCTAATTACACCTCAGTTTACACCGAAAATTCCACTGTAATTTACACCGTATATTCCACTGTAAATTACGCCGTAAATTCCACTGTAATTTACACCGTAAATTACATTATAAATTACATCTTAAATTACATCATAAATAGGAAGCCAAAAATGTATATAATGAGAGTAATTAGGAGGCAGAAGAATTGGCAATAAAGCAATAAAAAACTTTGAAATATAATTACTTACTTGCGTACAATTAGTTTTATATGGTGCCCTTTCGTCCTCCATCCCAATAATTAAATCCATT